ATCTACGTACTTTAGGTTGTTGGTATTGAAAATAAACTATTTTCTTTTAAACTGAGGTCGTTCAAAGAGATCTACGACAGGTAAGAGGATGTCCGTCCTGCATGCAGCGTAAGCACCACAGTGTTCATGTTGGACTAAATAACAGAGAGATACGGGGGTGTGCATTAAGGCTGTAAATAGAAACACAGTCAGGTTTTAGTTCATTTGAATACGGCAGCATAGATCCAGAGGTCGCATGGAAGAAAACAGGTTACAGACAGTGGGAGGCATCATTGTCTAAAGCTTCATTGATTTCCTTCGACAGACAACAAGCAGGAGAAATATAAAGAGTTGCTTCATGCAGGCATGTGTTTATTAGCGGAGCCTTCCCATGGGCAACCGGTCAGGGTCACAAAGGTTACGTACACTCAAGACCGAGTCAATTAGTGCCGTTCCAGTCTTTAAGGCTACAAACACACCGTCAGTCATCCATCAGGGCATCTGCATTCAACATAAAACCTGCTGTGGTGGTGGTGGGGAATAAATAAACTCGTGCAAAAAGCAGGCTTGGTGCATTAAACACATATTATCCAACAGGCGTGCCAAAAAGCATGAGCTCACGATGCAGCAGGCTGCCGTTGGTTACCTTTGATATTGCGACCATTGTCTGCGACGGCAGGAGGAGGAGAGAGACAAGGATGGGAGGGTGGGTGAGTGAAGAATTCTGGTTTTCCATGATAATAAACGAGTGCTGGCATCAAACCCCGGTTGCTGCCCCTCATGAACAATTCATTACAATGAAGAAGACGTATTACGGTGTCAGCCACTCTCAGCCGTTTGAATGAGAATTGTAGTTAAGGAGTGACGTGGACTGATTGGACTGGAGGGAACGAGGCCGGGGGGTGGGGGTGGGGGGGATTCTGTCCCAAAGACAGATTTAGATTTCAGGGAGGATCAATAGCACCCAGTAAAGATAAGGAGCTACTCTATTACTGATTGAGAAACTGGTTCATGACATTGTACCTATTTTGGGACCTTGGGGATTTGGATAAAACAAGGTTACATTTATGACCAACACATTTACGTCCTTTAGTTTTACTGTCCATCCCTGACTTTAAACATGTAGGCAGCAGGAGAGTTCACTTTTCATTGGTCTGATATGTTTCCAGTAGAGTACATGCACTGTATACAAAGACGTTTAACTCTTTTTTCCTCACAGTCTGACATTAAATCAGACTAAGACTTTCCTGTTTGGGGTCAGTTAGGATTCCCCCCAAAAATTATTTGTATTTGTTCAAAGTCTGAAAATTGAGAGAACTATTTACTACTTTATTAAAAGTCACAAGTTTACATACACCAAGACTGCCTTCAACAGTATGGGAAAGCCCAGATGACGACGTCATGGCTTTGGAAGCTTTTGATTAGTTGGTCGACAACATCTCAGTTAACTGGAAGTACACCTCAAACACGACTGTATTTTTCGGACTGTAAGGCGCACCGGATTTTAAGGCTCACTGTTGATTTTTGTGAAAATTAAAGAATTTTAAGTAGGGATGCACAATATTATCGGCATGGTATCGGTATCGGCCGATATTAGCGTTAAAGTTCAATATTGGACATCGCCCATTTCATCAAAATAACTCACCGATATAAAAGGTGCTGTTTTTGTATGACAACCCAGTGACAAGGATGCCTGCAGTACCAGCACAACGTGATGACGTCACTCGCGCCCACCTGACCTGATCACGGCGGAGAGGAAAAGTCAAAATGTCGGCGGTGTGGAAGTTTTTTTCGTTGAGGATATCGGATTCCGAAAATTTTGTGGACTACGTTGAGCCTCGCTACATCGTCCCCAGTCAGATATTTTTCCGACGTAGCCTTACCCGAGTTACAATCCGTCATTTCAGACGTCATTGAGAAGCTAATAGTCTATAGCATTTGGATGAGTTCTACCACAGACATTTGGACGTCGTGTTAGCTCCGTTAGCATGATTAGTCTTACGGCACAATGGATAGAGAAAAACTTTGAACTTAAAAAGGCTGTCCTTCATGTACAAGAGTGCAGAGGATCCCACACTGCAGCTAGGAACCTAGAACAAGCCTCCACAAGTGAGACAGCATCGCAGGTGACTAATGCTAATAAATAACATTTAGCACTTTTCATTAAGTAAGTCAAAGTGCTATGCATATCATATGGCTCTTACTGAATATATGTCACCAGCTCTTACAGCTGCTACACAATTTTTGTAGCAAATAAGCCTAAATAAGAGAGAGGGCTATGTTCTGACAAAGGAAAGTGTATTAAATATTGAATATCGGCCAAAAATCCAATATTGGCATCCCTAATTTTAAGTGTGCCTTATGGTCTGAAAAATACGGTACTTCTTTGTGAGATTTAGTTGGAAAACTTGAAGAAATCAACCAAGATAACAACACACCGTGTTTGTTAAGAGTTAAACTTACAAAGATGCAGACTACCATTGTCAGTCTACAAATAAATGGGATAATATAACAGCCAGGAGCTGTTACTTTTTGTGGGACACACGTGAATATTAAAATGATTGTTTTTTTTTGTTTTTTTTACACAAGATTAATTCTGTAACTTTTATCCTCTGGTCATCAGTTTTGTGGTAAGGAGAATTATTTCTCAGGATAATATTAAGTTAATTTAAAATGTGTTTGTATTAAACAACAATAATGCTCTTTTCCGTGTATAGTTTTAATAAAGGATTTGTCACCAAGGACACCCCCCCCCCCCCCCCCCACACAAATTATATGTCTGATCGAGCTTCTGGTGTCTCAAGCTGAGATTTACCCTCAGAAGGTTCTTTATCTTTATGACAATAAGTGCTCCTTAGGGGGAAATTATTGATAAACTTAACTGCTTAAAAATAATGTTTAATACTTTTGTTCACAATAAATTAGTCAATCTTTAAGAGCTATCTAAGCCAGGAAAAAAACATCTGATTTAAATAATTTTAAAACATTTTAGCTTCTTAAAGGAACAGTAGTAAAAATAAATAAATCTTAATTCAGTTTTGTAAAAATTGACAAAATATTTATGTCAATTGTAGGAATTGGGAAAGGAATTTTTAATGTATATTTTACATTTAAGTCCTGAGTTTTGGGAAAATAATGCAGTCTACTGGACCCTCCAGAACCAGGAGCTGAACATAGGGCATCCTTTAGGGTCAAACATGTACAAGTCGATGGTCGGAGACGAAAGTCTCTTTTAATCTTGTTTTTTTTTTTTTTTTAACTCTATTCGTGCACGTCTGTTTGGGCTTTGTTTCTTACTTTTACTGGAGCAGACCACAAAGCTGCTGCGGTCCCGTCCATCCACCAACGGCGCCACGTTTTAGATCAAGCCAACTGGAGTCACTCGTAGAGGGCGGACCAGAAGATTTTTCAGCCTTCGTGCATGAGAATCTAATTTTTGTACTAAATGTAGACTTGTGCACAACACAAGTGCGTTTTCGTTCTTCACATCTAAATTAAAACCGTGTTGTTGGATGAGGTGAAACGGGGCTCCACGGCAACATTCACCAATGATGGGCGCAACCTTCAGAGTAAGTACCAGCCCCCCCGTTCTGTGTTTTTATGGCGTCTCTCAAATGTAATAGTGGAGCAAAATTATCTAAAGAGCTAATATAAACATCAAAAGTAGAGAAAAAGAGATTAAAAATACATTAATAAAAGAAACACTATGCTTTATAATATGATAAATATGAGATCAAAAGTGCATTTATAATGGATTTCAACAGGGTCAGTTTTTACTCTAAGGAACACTAGAGGGCAGTAATGTTACTGTGAGGTAATGAGAGCGTTTGAAATGATTCAAAGTAAAAAAGTTTTTGAAGGATTTTTAGACTTGGTCAGGAATGGTCGTGTTTATTAAAATAAAAACAAATAAAACTAAATGCGCGGCTCATTTTCCCCCATGATACTTTTTAAGGGTTAAAAGCGGTTGTCTGGTCATTTCTGAGGAATGTTCTGTCGAATAGTTAATATCAGTTTCTTATCAGTTGTTGCATCTGTCAGAGCATGGAGGTTGGAGAAAGAGGTAAAAGCTTTGGTCCACGCAAGACTAATGGCTAAACGAGAGCCTGTTTTTTTTTTTATTTAATATTTCTGACTTATGAAACCAAACTGCATTTTAAAAGCCAACATACTGTTCTACTGAGTGAAGAGCAAAGATAGATCATGGTTTTAACTGTAATGAACAAATAAAAACAACATGAACATGTACAATAACTCTCCCCTGCCCAGTTCACAGTCCACTCGCAGCCCACATACATTGCGTAGTAACACGAACATTGTCCGGTTGAGAAAACAGGAACAAATGGTTAATGGACTGTGCTTATATAGCGTCTTTCTATCTTATCTAGATACTCAAAGTGCTTTACAATACAATCTGTGCCCTCGTTTACCCATTCAAACAGCACTTTACTAGATCTACACAAAGACTAATCAGTGATTTATCACATTTATACACCGATGGGACACACATCGGAGGCAATGAGGGGTTCAGTGTCTTGCCCAGGGACACTTCAGCATGTGACTTCTGGTGGAATCAAACCCCCAACTCTTGCATTGGAGGACAACTGCTCTAACCACTCAGCCACAGCCACCCCCCTACAAAGAAGCAATGTCAAGCAAAAGTGTAGAAGTTTAATATTAGCTAATGTAGCGGTCTTTCACATTGGTATGTATTTTTGGAGAAAGAGTTGTTGTGCAAGTCTTGGAAAAAATGAACAACGAGGCTAGGCTAACTAGCCCTTAGTCTAGTCTGGGCAAAGACTTTCACCTCTCTCCATACCCAGTGCTCTACGCCTATTATTAGACAGAACATCACTTCAGAAATGAGCAAAGTATTCCTTTAAGTTGAGCTTAGCAACATTTTACCTCCTGAATGTGAAAACAAGTGGTGAGTGAAGAGAAGAAACTATGTTAGAGGTTTAATTTAGACAGTTAAAGCAGAAAAAAAATATGGCGCAGAGGATAGTAAAGCAGATCCCAACCTTCACTGGCGTGTCGGTCCCTAAAGGCCATCTTGGACTTGGTCCCAAAGCCTTCCATATCATGTACGGAGGAGGCTCTGCGTATACTGCACACAGTCTCTCTGGAGGCGGTTGGGGTGAGGCCTGGGATTGACGGAGCTGCAGTGAGCGTGTCCTCTTGGCTCTGGTGTTGGGTCTGCTCCGGAAATACCCGATCCCAGGGGCCTTTGGGCGATGAGTGGTTCAAAGGCCCAGACACCGGGGTCGAACAGTGGCTGGGGCCAATTAAAGCCCGGGTGTCGTTCGCATAGGAGGGACTGCAGCTCTCACGGGTGGTGGGAAGTTGGTAGTTGTGCGTTGCCACTGAGCCATCGCTGTGGCGAGGGGAGTCCACCATGACGGCGTCAGGGTCCTCTTGGGGAAGGGACTGCTTGCTAATACCTAGGAGAGGTAAGGCCGGGAAACGGAAGCGAAAGAATCTCCCTCTTCCTGTAGGAGAAGGACAAAAAGTTACAATTAGGAAAAATTCTGAAAGATTGTAATATTCTAAGCTAAGAAAAAAGCTGACATATTTTGATGTATAAACTAGTGTTGTGGTCAAGACCACCTAACCCGAGACCAAGACAAGTCAAGACCAGAGTGTACCGAGACCGAGACAAGACCAAGACTTTTAGGGTCCGAGACCAAGACAAGACCAAGACTTTTAAAGTCCGAGACCAAGACAAGACCAAGACCGAAGGAGGGCGAGACCAATTCGAGACCAAATCCACAAATAAAATAAAAAAATAAATAAAATGTTATTATAAAATATTTTTATAAAGTTATGAGCCTTTTTAATGTGTCAAAACTGATGATTTTACCAGACAGTAATGTTTTTACGTTTTTAAACAGTGTTGTTTGTGAAATGAATTTTGTACTGCAATGTCTTTTGTACACAACTTGTGCATGCTTACTTTAATTTATTTAAACTCTAATTTAAGTGACCCATTTTGATCCTAATAAAACAAAACTCAAGATGCATTTACCTTCTTTTGGTCTCTTGAAGTCAACATGAAATACTGGGCAGTATAAATGCAGTCTTTAGGATTAAATTAGAAACTTGAAGTCAGTTACTTTCTAAAATTGTTTAATTTTCATTTAGACTTGTGTATTTGCTTGGGGATCTTCCATTGTATGATCCAAGGCACATTAAGAAAAAAAAACACAGTATCATAAAAATCACCCAAGAAAACTTAGTAGCTTATTCATATTCATAAAGTTTCAGAGAAATAACTGCACTGCAGGCAGCCAGGAATGTGAACAAAAACTACTACAGAAAGAAAACCACGAGGCTAATCAATTTCAACGTTGCAGCTATACAAAGCAACACAAAGTTTGCCCGATGCATAACTACGTCAAAAAAATCCCACTTTGGCTGTGGCTGCATTTTGGAAGGAGTCGACGGGGGAGAGGACAGCCCCCGGAGGGCAAAACGTCAGTCTTTCCACAAAAAAAAAAAAAAAACTGTCCAGATGACTAACTGATTATTGGAGTTTAAAGAAGTGTTTCATTGCATTTAAGAAATATGAGTGATTGCAACATTCTGTGGCCTAAACGTGCACGATGGGGTCTCATTAAAATGCCTCCTCGACTGAAAACCCTTTCCACTGGTGCAGAGGAGGCAGGGACTGATAGGACCTTCATTGCCAAATTGTGCAGTTGTGGAAATCTAGTGTGGTTTTTTGCCCAGAAGACAAGTGCATTGTCTGTGTCAAAGTCACGGATGGCATCAAAGTATTTCCTTATCTGTGTGTGTATGCTTGAATCCTGGTCTGAGCTGTGCTTTTTGTATGCCTTGTAGCGGGACAGAAGGCGAGGGTATTTGTTTGGTGGCGAATCACTGGCTGCGGCTGGATCCACATTCACAACTTCTGAGCAGGTGTCTTCTTTCATGTCCATCATCTTCTCCACCTCTAAGATCAATGTTTCTGAAAAACACAAACACAATGACTGAGTTAGATTTAAAAGGATATGCACATATCAGAGTTGAATTAAATACGTTTAGGACCTTTTATTAGGGGCCTTTTTTAATTAATTTAAATAATTATA